CCCCGTTCCGTATTCTTGTTTGGGTGTGTGGTCACATTATGCACATCTCGTGTGACACACACCCTGTTATTAGGGTTCGTGAAACCCCGTTACATTTTCCCCCATTAAGATTGAAAACATTTACAGTTCCAATCAATTATTGCCTCAACGAGGCTCGCGTGTCCGTTCGACACTGCAACTCCATTTGTTGGAACAAACAACTCCCTTGCTCAATGAGCCCTGTGTCAACGACACCAAAATCTCCCAAGTCTCCCCGGTTCTGACGGCGAGCAGGTGCAGAGTCCAACTTCATCTCCCGCACACGGTGCAACGTCGGACAGTGCGTCCGCAGCACCGAGAGGTGTATATCCTAGGATCGATGAGCACAAACGTCGCACTCCGCGCACGCTTGTAATGCCGAGTGGCCTCGTTGAGGATGTGGTCGACTATAAGTCTGACACTCCTTTTCCCGCATAGGAAACGAGGAAGACGAGCTGCGCCAGCGGCGCGATACGAGCCCTGCTCGTGCCTTGCAGACCCCATGTCTGTTCCCTGACTTCTCGTCAACTGAGGCACGTGGTGTGGTCACAAATGACCTCGACGGGGAACAGAGGCGGCAGCTTGAAGCTGCCCATAAGGCGGCTCTAAAGCGCGCCCATCCACGGTCGGTCATTGACCCTCGTATGAAATATGGCTTCCGCCCTGCGGGTCACGCTTTGGAAGTGAAGGACGCAGTATCTCGCGTCTTTATCATTGGGCCCCCGGCCAGAACGGATGATAAACTTGCCACACGGAAAGCTCTTCGAGATCGTTTCTTGGGCCCACAAGAAATTCTGTTGGAAACTTATCGCACTCGCCTGAGCGCACAATGATGTGGCTCTCGTATACCCGCAATGCGAACAATACCAGTAGTGCTTGCCCCTGGCGAAAGTGCTACAGATGATGAAGCGCTCTTTGAGTGATGGGTGCAACGGCACCGGAAACGTTCCTCACTGCATAACCTGCAGCTGAGCCACAAGGAAGTGGACGTGCGTGTAGAGCGACACCTCGGCTTTGAGTTTGCCAAACTCAAGGCACGCCGTCGACTTCCTTCGGATTGTCGCCTTGCGACGTATAGGTTCACAACTCCTAATGCTCCCGCGAGCTCTGTGTCTTCGACGGCAAGAGCTTAGGA